GCCACTTTTTGAAATACGTAACTATATGATGAAAATAAAGAATATCCGCCAGTTGACTAGAAACTTCCTGATCCAAATCCTTCGAACGCTGAATGACTCTACTAAGGAATAGGATTAACGTAGTTGGCCGGGAATAAGCCAACTCGTCCGTCTGGACCACGTCCTTTCCACCATCCTTCATCCACTTTATCAATATCCGTAATCACATCGTCAGGATCAAAAGAAATTTCAGAATCGTCCGCTGTAACAAAAGTCAAAAATAAGTAAAAACGGATCCTTACCATCTTTGACAAAAAACTAATGCAACTGTTCAATAAAAATACTTTTAAAGCAACAAAGTGAGCTGCCAGCCTTTTCATTTGAAAATGCTTCGGGATAGGGAAAGAAGCAGCAATTTATAATTAAAACGTCAGCGGTTTCATATCAAACTACCTGCTTGATAATCCCACAAAGCCACCGCTCGCAAACCTCCTTCATTTGAACTTACAGCATTACTCGGCGGAGCTGTCTCAACAGGGGGCTCTTCATAATAAGAAAGTGGTTTTATTACGTTATCCTGCGGAATTTGAGAATTTAATTCTTCTTCGGACACTTCCTCATTATAATATGGAGCAGAAACCTCCGAATGCGACGAATAGCTCCCCTTTTGAGCAGACAAATAATCAGTAGCATCAGTGTCGTATTGATGCTCCTGAGACGCCGGACTAGAGGGTTTTTCATCCACATGAGAAGGTTGAACAGGCATACGAGGTGTATGCTGAGTAGAAGGAAGCTTTATAGCGCTAACATCGCGCTTTTTTTGAGGAACTTTGCTTTGGGCTTCAAGAAATTGACCAGCCTTTTGTTCAAACAGAGCCTTCCTCCCTTCAATAAATCCAGATGAACATGAAGTAGGCGAAGGTTTCGTAAAACTAGAGCCTAAAGATGGAAGGGTTATTTAGTGATAAAAAGATTATAAATAATGTCACTACCAGAAGCACTCATCGAATCAACGGCGAAATCAGTTCAGTTGAATCACTAGATATCTGACAGTGACAAACAACAAAAAATATATACTACCTTGTGCCTTCTTCTGACTATAAATCTGCATCTTTTCATGAAGCGTCTGAATTAGTTCTTCCCTCTCCTTTTCACTTGCTTCGTTCTTTTTCTCAATTCGTCGCCTTTCCTCCTCTAAACGGTCAGCTTCCTCCTCTTTAAGTTTCTTCCAAAAATTATCGCGTTCAGCAACGTCTATATCTCTAAAAAGAAGTGATGTTACTAAGATACACTGAATAAATATCCTTCGATGACCAAAACTAAGAAAAAGTACGCTTTGAGAAATTATAAGATTACCTATTTGGCTTTACTGGACGGTAGACACTGCCTACTGATTTTTGTTCGGGAAAATCGCCATTTTCAGAGAATTTTGTGTCTTGAACGCCAGCTAGTTTAGAAACTACTTTTTGTATGCTTCCAATGTCAACATCATCTTCACTCCTCGCAATTATAACCTGAGAAACATCTTTTAGATATGTTTCTTCCAAGAAGAACTTAAAACTACAGCAAGTCGAAGCAGAGGCAGCTGTAAGACAATTGACTGTAGTTATGCGACAAATATCAGCTCACCTAATAAATACGTTTTAAGCCATTTAATCAATACTAATGATAAAATTTTTACTTGTTTACTAAAAATGCAAAAGTTTTCCCTTCGAAAAAATCAAAATTTTTCAATAAAACCAACTGCATGAATGCCTCGCAAAATGATTTTTAAATCTGTTCCGTGTCTCGAAGTAACAGCAAGACGTGCTGCTGGAACACCGTCCCCTTGCTAAAAAAGAACGTTACTATTTGACCTTTAATCTGAAAAAAAATGATATTGATATAACTTTCATCTCCCTACCCATTGGATAAGCACAATTTTAGGCTGTCTTGTCGCAGAAGCTGAAACAGCAGCAATTCCATACTGCAGTTTACCCGAATTAAAATTCGTTACCATTTCCTCGATACCACCTCCTTAAAAAATTTATTTGTCAAAATCAAATATTAATACAACAAAAATATCCAGTAGCTAAAAAATCAAAAGTGTAATCCTTCACGACAATTCTTAAATTGTTTGACACTGCAATCAACTCTAATTATTAATTTTTAAGTGATAAATTTGTTACACATCAAAATCCTTTGAAAAACATTTAATTTAGTTTCAGTTTAAGTGCAAAAATGCTTCGCAGAATCATCCAATTCAATAAAAAGTACACAACAAAAAAACTTAATAGAAAAAACGATATTTCACTTGTTTAAAACTGCGCATGTCACCAGTACTTTCCCCTTGTGTTCTACTAAAATACTACAAAAAAAGTCGTTCGTTGCTCCTAAATTTTCTCAAATGAGACTATTAAAAAAGCCACTATATTTTTTTCATACTAGGAACGATGCATACCTTCAAGAGCGTTCTAGGCCCAAAAACAGCCTTTTAAAAAAATCTGATAGTTAAACGGTAAGTGAGGAATTAAAGTGTGCCCGTTTACTGGCCATCAAATCACAATAAGATATTATTTTAATTAGTTTATATTATTTTCATTTATTTTAAAAGAAATTTTTTTAAAATTTTGGCCGACCTAACGATGCTTGTCAAAAAAAGAGAGATTCAGTGCATTTAGAACAATAACACCGTATGATATTACACAGATGTACTACAAAAATGCATACAATTTTTTCAATCTAATTTTCCTTCTCTCCCGTCATAGACATAGAGAAGTTTTAAAAACCTTTTAGAATCATACATTTACTGTATTCAAAACCCCGTTTTTTCCCATGCCTCTAAGCACCACAAAGTTATGCGTATCAAAGGCTAACAATTTACTGTACATGACCGCTTGCTGAAGCAACAACAACAAACGACTATGGAAGGTTTCCCAGATTCTTCTTACCAGAAAAGATTTTCAATTTATACAACAAACAGAATATTACACTGATTCATGAAAAAAAAATAAGCGATCCTATTCATTATCAACAGAGAAAAAGAAAAATGATTACCTCCCTGATCGCCAACTTTAATGATGTTCGAATTTCCTTCGTATTCTAGTATCACCCTCAAATAGTTTTACAGATAAAAAAATGAATTGTTCCACGGCTGTTTCCTTATGTAAAAAAATCTTAGCTAAAAATCCAGCACATTTTTAAGAATTACTAAAAAAGAGAGACAAAGAAAAATCTTGCTTAACAGCAGGTACTCAGGTGTTATAAGGCCCTATAATTCTCCCAGAAAATAACTGCTCTTAATAACAAAGAAATAAACATAATCTCTTTCTTCTCCTGACTACTTTTTCCTAGAAAACTTACCATTTATCGCAACTTGAATCTTGAATTACGTCGTTATAAGCCGACATAATGGTATTCTCGTTGAGTTTTAAATTCAGTGTCATTTTTCCAGTCTGCAGCTAGTTACTCCTAGAAATCATAAAATTAATCCATTATTGTGTTGCGAATGTACGATGAAACTTGAGACCGATAATGAAACAATCGTTAAAAAAAACAACAATGACAATGATGACGAAGACAGGCAGCAATTACGATGATATGAACGACTGAGTCACTATTGTTTTACGAGTTAGCAGTCAGCAATTATAGGGCTTCTTGACCGCCTTTCGCTTTCTGTCTTTACATAAGAAGCCTTAGCAAATTAGTCACTGTTGACGAGCCAGACGAACAAGAATGAAAGAGGGGCAGAAAAACCAAAACCAAAAAAACCACGAACTAACTTTAAAAGCTATATATATAAATTTTCGGCCACCACTATCATTACTCGACGTCAACATTATGCATCCATCTAAACTTACAGAAACATACATCAACCATTAAAAAATGTCAATATAAAAAAAGCCAAAAACGTTATCGCAAAAAATTTAAAAAATAAGGACAAAAAAAAACCAGTGAAAGAATATCTGAAAAAAACTACAGACCTTCTAAATTGGTAACATATGTACGAGAAAAGAAAATTTATTGACATACCCTAATATCTACAGCCATACTGTTGTTTTTCCTCTTTTTTTTTTTTTGTTTTCTTTTTCCTTCCTTCCTTTCTTCTCTCCATTCTATGTCGTGGTGATTGTTGCTCGTACAACGGTGACTTCGCAACAACGACAACACTACCAATAATGTATTTGAAAAACAGTCGCTGTCGCCGTCGACCGAAGCAAACAAGAAACAACTCTTCTTCCATAGGCCTTATCGATGTACCCAAATACAAACTATAAGCAACCTCCTCCCTCTCTCCTACGGCCATAACAAAAAAGTTCTTTTTCTACTTGCTGTCACTAACCGATCAACAACGTACCCCGACAACCATCCCTCCAAAAACTTTGAAAAGCCCAAAAAAACATGACTAAACATCAATCGAACATTGGTGATATTTGCACCAAAAATTTTGGCGTTCATTTTTTTTAATGTATTCACAATTATACAATGGCAGAAAGGCGAAAAAACACAGTTCTTTCCCCTCTTTTTTCTTCAAAGGAAAAACACAAATAACATTTCTTTTGCAGAAAAATATTCTTTTTTTTTTCATTCAATACAGAAAAAAATTGAAACACTCTTTCCTGCACCATAATAAATAACAACGAGAACAAAAATAATAATAATAATAATAATAATAATAATAATAATAAATAATAATAATAATAATAATAATAATAATAATAATAATAAGACAATAATAATAAATTAATTTTGAGATTTTTCGGAATCAGATGATAATAATAACTAATAATAATAATAAATAATAATAAATAATAATAATGAATAATGAATAATAATAAATAATGAATAATAATAATAGTAATAATAAGAGTATCTAAAAGAAAGTCAAAAACATGAAAGTCGATATGCAGTTGATTTTTAGTTACCACTGTTCACCAAACTAAACCGACACACACCGACACGGACACCACCACACACAGACACACAAAATCAATGGACAATGGCACTTCCATCAAACCGATTAATCATCACCAATGTACCAAAACATTATATATACAAATAGGAATACAAATAAATATATACGTACACACGAACAGACACTGATATAAACTGTAAATTTTGGACATTCAAATACCAGCCTAAATCTGTATTGAAGAAAATATTAAATTTTCCCCAATAATATTTAAAATTTAATGAGCAAAAGGCGGAATTAAAAAAAAGAAAAGTTCAATACAAATGAGGACTAGTTTTCGCTTCTTTTGAAAAATCCAGTCAAATTAGCAGCAAATGCTACAACAGCAAACAAAATGATAGCCTTTCAATGAAAAAAAATTCATATATGTACGATCATAATTGAAAGATTGTTCTAACAGCAGTTATGTACAAATAACTTTTCGTTTTTATCAATCGAAAGAAATGCTGTTTTTTTTTTTTCATTTATTATCAATTTTCAATTACTTTCAAAATGAGTGTTCATACTATTTGGTTTCCTTTGTCCTAGACGTCGCTGCTCACCTACTGTCGTTATCAATAAGTATATTTATACATTTATCAATAACACCAACAGTGGCAGCAACAGCAGTAGTCTTTTTTTGGTAAAATGATGCTAAAATATGACTGCTTTGACAAAGAGTAAAAAAAAAAA